GTATCCCCAGGGCATAGCACAGAGTGCCACACAGTAAATCTCAAAAATTATTTATTAAAAGAATAAATGAGTGAATGGAAATTAACAAGGTGAAATTTTATCAAATAAAACTAATTTGTTCAGGCATTGAATAGACTAAACCTGGTTTGATATCAATTTAGATAAATACCAGCCAAATACAGTTCATTACCAGCTCAATTTAAGCCAAAAGTTCAATTAACAGAGGTAAAATATCTATCAAAATTAATCTCTATCATTTGCTGTAGTCAGACTACATGCAAAATACTCAAATCCATTTGTACATCACTTTTTGAAACTAACCCTGGCAAATGAACTTTCAACTACTCTCTCCCAGTTGGGTACTCAGGAATTAAGAGGTCTAGAGATCTTCTTAGGAGAAGTATCTGAGATTTGAAGTATCCAAGATTTTAACTTGGAAAAAGAAAACAGGAGAGACATGCTTCAAATATCTGAAGAGCTGTCATAGGAAAGTTAAATTATAGTCATTTCTGTATCACCCCCAAGGAAAGCATACAGAAGAGAGGGAAGCAGATCTTGCTTTAGTATAAAGAAGAATTTTTAAGTTAGATCTGTCCAAAAATGGATTAGGCCACCTCTTAAAGCAAGGAACAATTTCATCACTTTAAGGGTCTAAGCAAAAGCTAATCTGCCAGCAGCTTTGCAGAGCAATTATTTCTATGTCATTTTAGGCCATTAATATGTATGATTTAAAGAGCCTTTACTGGCCTGATATTCTGATTCTATGACTCCTGAGGGTCTTGCTCACTCCCTCTTCAACATTATCATAATCTCTCTTTTAGTGCAGGAGGTAAGGGGAGCATATTTTTGCAGCACAAATTTCACAAAGATGTAGCTCTAAAATGAAATTTTGACAATTTAATCACAAATAACTTTAGTTTTTGTCTTCCACCCACTTAATGCCTGATCCAGTCCATCGTTGTTCTTGTTCCAGTTATTTCTATTTGTTCATGAGGTACTCTTTCTGTGATGGTTAATTTTAGTTTGGGCTAAGAGACATGCAGATATCTGGCAAAACTTTATGTCCAGGTATGTTAGTAAGAATATTACCAGAAGGGATTAACATTTGGGTAAGTAACTGTGCAGATGGGCATCATCCAGTCCCTTGAGGGTCTGAATGGAACAAAAATATGGAGGAAGAATAAATCTGGGATATCCAGCTTCTCCTACCCTCAGCCATAGGCACACCTGGTTCTAAAGCTCCGGACTTGGACTGAACTAACACCACTGGCTCCATGGTTCTCTAACTTATATATCATGTAACTTATCAACCTCCATAGTTGCTCAAGCCAAGTATCATATCCTTCCCCTCACTCTTTCTCCCTTTCTTCCTTTCTCTCTTTCTTCCTCCATCTGTTTCTCTGGAGAACCCAAACTAACTAGCATACCTTATTTGGACTCATATAATCTCATTTCTATCGCAACTATGCCAGGGGTAAAAAAATTCCTCTTAAAAGTCACAACATCTTTGCTGTAATAGTCAATGGTCATGAATTGATTTTTATTCACCTTGCTCTGTAGGGGTATTGTTAACTATTCCTTCCTTTTCACCTGTTTCTCCAACTACTTTCATCTTTTTTCAATGACCCTTTTTCTCTTTTTCCACTTATGAGTCATAGTGATTTCCTAAGAGATTGATGCTTTCTATGTAAAATTTTTACTGCAATTTTTATGGTAGTATTAATTTTAAAATTCTTAAGCACAATAGAATAATGCCAGCAATGCAATTAACGTTGTCTTTATCTTTGTAATTTCTCTATATAACAAATAGTAAATACTGATTTGTTTGACAATACCTATTTGCAGTTTTGTTTTCCTAGTTGAGTTGGGGAAAGTACTTCAAATTTTAATGTTTTGCTCTCCTGGTAGACAAGGATTTCAAATTATATTTTTCAAAAGTTTGAATTGGAGGAATTCTGTAAGCTCACATTTGCTATTATATTAGTAAAATAATCAATCTACTTAAAGATGTTAGAAATTTTTGTTATTCTTCACATTTAAAAATGTGTCTGACATCTGCACTCCATGTTGACTGCATCACCATTCATGCATGCCAAGATAAAGAAACAACCTAAGTGTGTGTCAACTTTGAAATGGATAAATAAAATGGGACCTCTTTCTTTTTTATTCAGCCACAAAAAAAGAATGAAATATTGTCATTCTTGACAGTGTGAATGGAACTGGAAGTCATTATGTTAAATAAAATAAACCATATACTAAAAAGACAAGTACTACATGATCTCACTCATCCGTAGAATCTAAAATGTTTATTTCATACACAAGTAGAATGGTGGTTACCAAAGACTGGGTTTAGGAGGTGGGGGACAGGAATGAATACAGGTTAATCAATGGTACTAAATAATAGGAGAAAGAAGCTCTGGTATTATGTTGCACAATAGGGTTCCTATGGATAACAACTGTGTTCTTTATACCTCAAAAGTCTAGAATAAAGAATGTTAAATGTTTTCACCATGAAGAGATAATAAATGAGAAGATACATATGTTTAACATTATTTAATATTACATAATTGAAACATTACATGGTACACCATTATTATGTACAATTTTTATGTTTGTATGTATCAATTAAATATTGAATTGAGGCTGAGAATGTCACAAATCATATATTTTGGGTAGCTGAAGACATCATCAGTTCATTGCACCTTATGTCAAAATTCAAGCTAGGTTTGTAGATAGCTGTTAGGAAATTTAGTAGGGAATAGAAGCTCTACTCCCCAAATGGACACAAAGCTCATTCTTCCAAGAAATCTTCAATCTCATATTTAATAACCACTTGGAATTTTTATCATTATTCTAATCACATACTATATTTCTTACTTTACTATATAATATGGTTATGGTCCATATATTACAATTGAGCACTTGAAATGTAGCTAGTGAAACTGAAGTTCTAATTAATCAAAGTATTTAATTAACTTAAGTTTTAAAGTCTCACATGACTTTTTTTTTTCACATGACTTTTGACTACCACATTGGTCAAAACAACTCCCCAGAAAATAGAACCACAAATTACCCCTGTGGTCTTCATTTCTTAAGGAATAAATGTAAATATTAATAATATTAACATAACCATAGGACCATAGATAATGCTACACTCAAACTGACTTATCCCTATAACAAACATTTATAGGATATAGCAGGTTCTATGTACCAGTTGTCATAAGGAGCTCAGAGACTATTGAAAGATGTAAAAAAGAAGTAAATAAATTATGATACAATTTCATTGTAAGTAGAGCATCTTAATAAAAATTTGGGGGACATAGCATATGAATAACTGTCCATGAGAAGTAATAGTTTTCATTAACGAATTTTTTAAAATCTGGAACATCATAGAATATGCTATAAAATAATATGAGAGGAATGGGAGGTGAGGAAGTAGACAGGCATTCCAGAAACAACATTGAATTCTGAAAAGGCTTGGTATGTCTTGGACCCACATCTTCCATATGTGGTATGCATCAATATCAGCAGAAGATGCTACTGTAAAGTTGACTCTAGGCTGCTTGTGACAGTCTCTTGTGGTAAGCAAGAAGTTTGGGTACCTAGTGATCCCATAGTACACTGTACTCTCAATATTGTTAGAAAACTTGCTTTATTGTTAATTACTTATGTTTTAAAATCCTCCTCATTTGATTTATAATTTGTTGTGGAGAGACTGTTTTATTGACCAGTATATTCCATGACATCTAATATAGACTAAGTTTTTGTTTTCTTTTGTTTTTCTGTTTTGTCCCAGGAATTGTCCCAGGGGTGCTTAACCACTGAGCAACATCTCCATTCTTTTTTTATGTTTTATTTTGAGACAGGGTCTCTCTAAATTGCTTAGAGTCTAATTTGCTGTGGCTGGCTTTGAACTTGCAATCTTCTGCCTCAATCTCCTGAGCTGCTGGGATTACAGGTATGTGCCACTGCGCCTGGCTCAGTATCTGTTTTATGAATATTATTTATGCTTGTTCTGAAGCTTCATGCCCTTGGAACCGCACTGCCATCTTCCAAGTTACCCCTTTGACTTGTGGTGTTTAATCTTTTGATCCACCATCAGGTTGCCAGACAGTGTCGTTGTTTACTATTTAACAACAGATTTTATGACTTGTTCTCCACGTTTTAAATGAAGCCAGGAATTTGATAGACAAATGTATTTGTGGCATTAGATGTGAGTTACCCAGCATAATATACTTGGAAGGAAAGCAACTGAAAAAACTTTACTAACTGTATCAATAGGGCTTCAAATTAAAAAAGGATAATGTATTTTTTTAAATGAAGTATAAAAGCAGAATGGCAATGGAAAAATACTCCAGAGTAAATATCTATCTTTACTGATCTTAAAGTAGATCTTCAGGGGTTGTCATAGCCATGTACTCTTATTATCTCATGTTTACATTTCTTCATTATTTCATGGAGTTAATCTTCCCCTCAAGAGAAATAAGAAAGTCTCTAGAATACATGAAAGCAATCTGACATAACTTATGATAGCAAAACAGTCATTTTGTGCAAACAAAAAACAGTGATTACTTTCAGTATTGTGCCTCCACAGGTCTCCCAAAAGGTAAAAATCATTCTGGGTTCAAGTAAAAATCAGCAGGATGCTCTATACAAAGTGGACTACTCAAGAGTTAATAGCCAGAGAAAGAGGGTTATGCTGACTGTAGGCACAAACACATTTCCCCTGGCCGCTTCCAAAACACACACACACACACACACGGAAGACAGACGAAAAACGTGGTTTATTTATCACTAGGCAGAAATATTAGTAATAATGCAAAGATCTCAAGTAACGCTTTACTAATTCGTCCTTCCTCTCACACATCTCATCCATAGCACCTCCGGCGACTGGCAAACCAAGCGCCGCCCAGCGGGTGGGCGGGGCTGCAGTTCTTTTGGGTGTTCCCAGCTCTCGCGAGCGCGCGTTTGGTATCTGTGTCGAGGGAGGAGTTTCTTGTCCCTTCGCGCGGCCCGTTCCGTCTCGCCGCCTCGCCTCCGGTAGTGTTTGGGCTGACGTGTCTGAAGTTACTCCGAGTCTCAGCGACTCAGGCCGTGATGGCGGACGCCTGGGAAGAGATCAGGCGGTTGGCGGCTGACTTCCAGCGGGCGCAGTTCGCCGAAGCCACGCAGAGGTGCCAGACTCTCCCTCTTCGTTGTGGAGTCCAATTTAGGCCCTGGGTGGACACGCGCGGAATTAGAGCTTAGATCCCTGGTCCTGGACCCCGGGCCTTCCAGCCCTCATCAGAGTTCTCGCTTCTTCCCTTCTTCGCCCCAGCCTGGATCGCAGTTCTGAGTCCAGGAGTCATTTGGAAAGCCCGCCTGCTACCATGCCCTGAACTCCCCCCGCCCCCCCGCACCACCCCCATTCCTGGCTCCAGCCAGGTGGTGGCGCGCCCCTTCTCTGCGATGGCCTCAGCGGGTGACTTAGGGCTGTGTTTAGAGTCTCCCTCTAATCCTTCTCCCCCACCCCTTACCAAGTCACTTCTGCATCGTCCCGGTTACACACTTCCTGACCTAGAATGAGCATGAAAAGCGAGACTAACCCCAAATACAGTACTCTGCAAATGTGATCCTTTATTATCTACCATAACAGATGTAGAACAGACCCATGAAGTCATCTGTCATTTTTAGGGACTTTTTCAGGCCACTGACATTGTCTAGAAACCCACGAACCTTTGGGGGATGTGTCTGGAACACCTTAACTCTACTTTTCAATATTATAGAACATACTTATAATGCTAATAGAATCCTTTTTATCGATGGAGTATTTCTTACTGTGGATGTTTTATTCCTTCTAGTCCTGAAGGCAGTAGACCTTTTATGCTATATTTTGTATTTTATAGCACTGAGAGATGCAAAAACAAAATCTAGAGCACAGTAAGTGTGCAGGTACCTAACAGTAGGTGTTATGGTTTTGCTAGGCCAGATTCTATCTGCACACCAAGTACATCAGTGAGGCCACTATGCACTTAATTTAAAAAGAAGATTTGGGTTAAACCAAAAATTGAAGTAAGGTAGGGCAGTTGTTTTTCCTATCTAAACTACATGTCAAAATTTTCTATTTAGATTTGATGATTAAAAGAAGGCCTAAAAGAGCAAATTTGAAATTGAGTAAAATTATATATATATTAAGTAAATGATATAAGTATATGAAAATCTGCTTACATTCAATAGTTTTTTTTAAACTTTTAAACTGGTATTGTTATATTAATAAAAGACAAATATTTTGTGATAATAGAAGTTAATGATTCTACCCAAACACATTTTAGAAACCTGTTTTCATACATTGTGTTAATTTTATGGAACACCAGTATGTTACGCTTAAATTTTTTTTCCCTCAGATTGTCAGAACGGAACTGCATCGAGATTGTGAATAAACTGATTGCTCAGAAACAACTAGAAGTAGTTCACACACTTGATGGAAAGGAATATATTACTCCAGCCCAAATTAGTAAAGAAATGAGAGATGAGCTACATGTCCGAGGCGGTAAGTAATTTTGTAGTGTTTTATTTTTGTCTCTTGGACCTTTGGAAGGAAAAAAAAAATCTTTAAATCGTAAGTGCTAAATTATATGGAGCTTATAGGACATCCTTCTTAATTGTTAACTTAGTAGTCAAGCTTAATGTTTTTTCTGTGTTCACATAAACATGAGCATATAATCTAAATGAACTCAAGTAATATCACTTTCCAAAATACTATTCTTATTATTTTGAGTTATATGTATTATATGTGAATATGTTGGCTATTTATTTTTGTAATTTATTAATTTATTATATGAACTAAAGTAGGGTACTTACCTGCCAGTTATCAGTATTATTTTTGAAACAGGATTTTAAAAAGATCAGAGATTCCTAAACAAGTCTATATTACCATATTTTTTAAATTATTTATTTTGTAAGTAATACAAACTAGGTAACTCAATATTATATAGTGTTTCACCCATCACATTATATGAAATGCTATTATTGTGGTTAGCATAAAACACTCACACACAGTTTTCCTTTGTCTTTTATTTGGAAAAATTACTGAGCAAATTGGACACAATTTGATTAAAATACAAGCAACTATGAAAGCAGCTCTTCATTGGATATTTACAGAATATAACCTTGGTGTTAGTTTAGTTTTTTATCTCCCTACATAATGCTAATGAAATATGACCTGTAATTGGGGGTATTTAGTAAATTTTCTTTTGCTGGTAAATAGAAACCTACCTTTCAGGTTCAAACAATTGAGAAAAATATTATTAAAAATAATTAATTTAGTTGTCAATATCTCTTTGGTCAGGGTAGATAAATTCTGAGTTCTTAAGGGAGTTCAGTACCTTCTGTAAGTCTAGTTAACTTGTGTATCAGTGGATGCTTATATGTAGCCTCATGTAATAAAAATTCAAATTATTGCCTTTGATTTCAGCTATGAACACTTAGCAAATGGTTTACATTTAAAGACATTAATTGTGATTCTGTGTCCTTTAGGAAAAAACTTTGTTCAAAACTTAAATCTATGAGAATGTACACTTTTTAGCTGATTTGTACTTAGACATAATTTAAAATAAGTGAATGTCTTTTCTTTCAAGGTCGAGTAAACATTGTTGATCTGCAACAGGTAAATTTTAAATTTATAAAATTTTTGCCTTGATTTCTTAATTTTTAATCCTGTGAATTTGTTCAGTGTCTTTAAAAGCATTGACTGATACTGGTATCGCACTTTATATAATGTTTGTGAAAAAATAGTTACATAGCCCTCACTGATACATTAAATCAAATAAATTATGGTATATTCAATTGATTTAATAGGTTCTTCCTTGGTCAACTTGCTTGTTCTTTACCTAATAAACTCAGTAGCTGCCATTTTATATAATTTAAAGTTCATGTCATTTCAGGAGAAAAATCATGAGTTTTATATTTATTGTCTTTATTATGTGGAAGTAATGGAGAAATAGTAAGAAGTAGAATATATTTTCAAAATATAAATACACATGTGATTGACACGGTACATTATATATAAGAAGCTAGGCAATCTTGTGTGAAGTGGTGTCTGTTGTATGAAAATTGTTGTTTATTATATTAATTTATATTAAATTTTTTAGCAAGTAAAAATAGAATTCTTTAGAACTGAACATAAGTAAGCAAAAATTCATTTTTTATTTGAAGCCTTAAACGATATTTTAAATAAATTCAAAATTGTTCAAGTAATTTTTTAAAAAAAATATCTAAATATATAATTTCAAAGCTGACAAATAGCCAGGCATAGTGGCACCATACTGTAATCCCAGCAAGGTAGGAGGATCGCAAATGTGAGGCCAGCCTCAGCAACTTAGTAAGACCTTGTCTCAAAAAAGGACTGGGAATGTAGCTAAGTAATAGAGTACCCCTGTTCAATCCCCAGTATGGCCAAAACAAACTTAAGAAACAGTACATACTTATACTAGTAGAATTTCTATTTATTTTCCAGGTAATTAATGTGGACCTGATTCATATTGAGAATAGAATTGGTGACATTATTAAATCAGAAAAGCATGTCCAGCTAGTATTGGGACAATTGATAGATGAGTAAGTACTTTATCTAGGAGCATTTATTTTCTTTCTTTTTAAAATATTGTTAAAATTTAGACCAATTATAGCCAGTTAGGCATTTTATTTACAGCTCTTATAGTGCTGATTTTTGTTATAAATATCATTGCATTTAAAATGTAAATGCTTAATTATTTGGAATACGTAGTTGCAAATACTATAAACTGTGTCTTTTTGTTTTGTTTTATTTTGTTTCTATTGAAGCAGTGCAAAGCTTCTGGAGATCAAGCAAATTTTCCCTTGAATGTATATTCTTTGTTGTACCCCCGTAGTTTCTCACTCTTGGGATAGCCCACATTCTCCCTTGAATGTGCTTCTGCTTTTCTATAAACCTCTGTCTTTGAAAATAAAAAGCAATACAAAATGGAACTTTTATAATTTTTGCTATATGATATTAACTCTGGAAGCACATTCATTCTAAAAATATTAATGAAGAATAACAAACTTTACAATATAAGAAAAAAATCCCAAAATTTATCATTTGAGTAACCTTGTGTTCATTTAGTTACATTGATGAGAAAAAATATTTTAGAACATGAATAATGTATTGGTAATATGAATATTATTCATATTACCAATACATTATTCATTACTTTTGGTACATACTTTATTCCAACAGAAAATAAGCCTAAAAGAATCAGAAAATAAAGAAAAACATTATTTCTAATTGTTTTTCATTTTGTTTTTTCAATATTAGCAACTATTTGGATCGGTTAGCAGAAGAAGTAAATGATAAATTGCAAGAAAGTGGTCAGGTAACCATATCAGAACTGTGTAAAACCTATGACCTTCCTGGAAACTTTCTGACACAGGTATTTTTTTCTTAATGGTGTAATATATCTTTTTAACAAAGAATTTTAAACAGAGAATTATACTTAGTGCATGAATTTATTTAATGCTTCTCTTATCAGCTGCATAGAAATTTTAACCAGGATATCTACAGTTCCATATCCCAGTTACATTTTAGAAAAACCATCAAACATTTTAAGTTAGAAGGGGTACTCCTGGCATCTGTGGGTAAAGGCAAGGAAGGGATGCTGCTAAATATATTACATTACACAAGACAGCCTGTTCAGCAAAGTATTTTCTTGTCATAAGTGTCAGAAGTGCCACTGTCTTTTGATATCATCTTTTTTTTTAATGGATCAGTGATGCTTTACTAAGCAGTGGAGGAGCACATTTTAAAGGGGGAAAGTGGTGATGGGCTACAGCAGATCTGAGTTTTATAGGGTTTAGCAGGGCATGGGAGGAGTTGGTTAGTTACTTTTGCTGGGCTTATTTTGGTCAGCAGGGGGTTTTGGGCAGATAAGGGTGATTAGGAGAGACTAGATTCCTATGCTCCCCTTTTTCCCTGAGTAAGTCTCCGTTTCCTTCATTCTAGACTCTAAAAAAGATATAGTGAGTTGGGATGATGTCATCATATCTGGCTACTCTGCTGAGCAGGGGCATCACTAAGATATCTTCCAGAGGCTGTAGCATGGTGGCCCTGGAGATCAGAGACATGTTCTGTTAGAAACCTCTGGAAAATATTAATGAAACATGGAAGAAGGGAGAAAAATAAGATAATCAGGAGAATGAAGGATCATATGGGTCCAAATCCAGGTCAGGAGTCCTCCCTCCCATCCAGGGGAAGAGGAGATGTTTGCTAAGTTAGCGGCTTGTTTCTTTAGCTTTCTTATCCCTTACTATTCCTGACTTAACTAACATAGAAGCAACATTTTTCCCCACGGAAGAGGCTGAGGCTACCTTGTCCTGCTGTAAGAAGATCTAGGTGCTGATGATTTTGCAAACCTACAGAATACAGGGAATCCAATTGATTTTGTAAAGTCCATACCAAATCAGCATGGCTATCCTCAATAACCTGTATGGACCATTTTTTATAGTAGTGAAGAGAAGTTCCTAATCCTGCTACTTCTGTGCCAATCCTGGCAAGTCCTTTTCTAGCCCTATAAGTAAAGGAATAAACTGAAGGGCTCTCTTATATCTGGTGTGCAACATTATCAGGATAGGCAAATTTTGATTATTAGGTGAAACAATGTTATCTATATTATTCCTCTGTAAACTGTCAGTATGATGGGAAGAAAAACAAAGAAATCTCACGTATTATCTTATGTTCAGGTACTTGTGTTAATACTCAAATCAAATATCTTGATTTATAGTATAGTAACACTACTACCTGAAAACAGATGCTATTTCCTTATTTTTTTTTTTTTATGTAGTTTGACATTTTAGAATTGTGGAAATCCATTTGATAGAGTAAAAAGTACATGTTTTGGAGTTAAACAGCTTGATTTGAAACCTTTTAGTGTCACTTTTTATTTATTTTACATTAGAAAAACTAATCTCTTGTGCTTCAAGTTACTTATGTGTAAAATGGGAATAATTATATCTTTTTCATAAGCTTCAATGAGATGTACCTATAAAGTGCAATGTCTGTTACAACAGAGGTGTATACCTAAAATGAGATTTGGCTTTTTCCATGTTTCAGTATACAAAACTATCATTTATTGAGTGCCTCTGTTGTAACAGACATTGCACTTTATACACCACTTTAATAAGAAACTTCAACTTTCAAAATGTACCAAACATTTTCTGGGGCCCAGCACTGCATGTATTGGACAGAGGTGGGCTCTGCCCTCCTGATGCTCAAGCTGAAGTGAGTGCTAAAGACCTGTCAGTGAGAAGGTTTAAAAGACCCTATGATGAGATTAATTTGGAGTATAAACAGGATTGTTCTCCACATTAAGAGAATCAACTTCCCAAATTACATTTAAAATAGAGTATAACTTCTGTATAGCATTTCAGGATCCTAAGTTCTATTTCACATGAGTAAATACATATTAATCATAGAAAAACATTATATTTTTTTAAAATTGTACTTTATAAAATTTATTTATTTATTCTAATTTTAAAACACTTTTTAAAATATCAGGCCAGATCCAAATTCTTACCAAACTGTGCACCTAAATACCTCTTAGAAATATGCAGTTTCTTAATATTTTTTAGTTCTAATTATTCTGAATACCACAGGCAGCATTCTAAAACTTCATTAAGTTGTTTGAAAATATTTTTTGTATCATAAAAGTATCAGCCAAGCTGACTTACAGATTTAATTTATTTTGAGATGTGAACTATATCCAAGCTTATTTCGCACTTATCTGATCCCAGGTATATTATAGCTGTTGGAAAATATTCTCTCTGTTAGAAAACAGATTACCAAGAAACCAAATCATCTTCAGGTTTAAATCTTTGGTTAATATTTGTACCAGAAAAAATTATTTTTTTTCAGGTCTTAGGTTCTCCTAAATTGCAGAATCTTGGCATAACACTTATTTTTCTCAGTGTTTGAAGCTCCAGATAGGGTCTTCTCTGCTATCAATGCATATATCTTGTGTTTATGTTGGAAACTGCCTATATATAGAAATATTATATTAGAAATACACTTTATAAACAAGGGCTAATACAATAACCAAGCCTTTTATTATAAAAGTAATTTGACTTATTTCTTGGCTCTGCTATGTGGTAATGTATTTTTCTAGATCCTGAAATTTCATTTAGTTTATATATCTTGTAATTCAAGCTTGTTAAAATTTCTTAATCATCATTCATATAACATCAGCATGCAGTAAGCATGAGTATACAAAATGTATATGTGTGATTTTATTCAAATTAATAAAAATTTAAATCTTTACCCCCAGGCATTAACTCACAGACTAGGTAGAATTATCAATGGACATATTGATCTTGATAACAGAGGAGTAATTTTCACAGAAGCTTTTATTGCTCGACATAAAGCACGCATCCGTGGATTATTCAGTGCTATTACCCGGTGAGCATGTTTTAAAATATGCAGATTTATACATTTTTTTGATATGGTTTACATTTATTTTCCTAGCAACTGAATGTTTGGTTGGTTTTTGTTTCGTTTTGTTTTAAGCAAAATTTCATTGAGGGTCATCGATAGAAGGGGAACTTCTGTGAAATGGGGTTGGGATACCAAAGTCCAGAATGCAGCCTAATTCTCTCCAACCAACATCCCCTTCTTTTTCCTGTTTGCTCCATCATACCCCCAGATGCACATCTGTAGAATGTGGTTTAAAAACTGCTATGCAAAACTGTATATTAAGGTCGTCCTGGAATCATGGAAAGACCATGCAATTAACAAAGGTAGAAGAATTGGGGCTTATAGCTGCATCAAATAATAACCATGTGACTTTAAGCATAAATGTCATTCTTCTGACTTGGGCTTTAGATGGGGTAGATAATTTTAGGACTCTTTTTACCAAGTTAACTTGTTAACGGCTGGGATGTAGCTCAATGGTAGAATGCTTGCCTCGCATGTGTGAGGCTCTGAGTTCAATTCCCAGGACCAGAAAAAAAAAAAAAATAGTTAACATTCTACTATTCTACTATACTAATGAATAACAACTTTAGTTTCAAAATGACTAACTTTGCTAAAGTAAGAATTTATGATATTTTGGATCTATGTGACAAACTATAGATTTTATAAAACATGTTCTCACTTATCTCCTCCCTCCTGTGACATCAGTTTCATTTCAGTGGCTTTGTGTCCCTTTAAAATGTCCAAATTTCTCCCATTTTAAAACAGACTCTGAACCCCATAGTTCACTCCATCCTGTGTATTAAGTTTCCTTAAAGTGAAACTTCTTGAAATTGATGTCTGCATTTATTCACAGCTTTCTTACCTTCTTTTTCTTCTCAACTGACCTCCTTGGCTTCTACAACTTACATAGCAGTGATGTCAATATAATTAAATCTAAGCTACCCACGGTGGTGCATGCCTGTAATCCTGGCTATAGAAGACTGACACAGGAGGATCTCAACTTTGAGGCTAGCCTGGGCAATTTAGCCAGACCTCTTTTCAAAATTAAAAAATAGATAAATAAGGATATGGATGTAGCTCAGTGATAGAGGAACACTGGATTGAATCCCCAGTACTGCAAAATAAATCAATGATTACATCTGACTTTGTAGTAATATTTAACTCCAGACATTTTTTAAGTGATAGCTGTTGTGGTTTTTTTGGTTTTATGTTTTTGGGTTTTTGTTTGTTTGGTCATTTAACAAATCAGTAAGTACTGAGCACATAATTGCACAGAGATACAAAATACTAGAAGGTTAGGGAGAGTTTGTAATCTAATGGAATAATTTTATTCTCTCTTTTTTTTTATATTAAATAACCTGAAACTTGAGGTTTTTTTGTGTATGTGAAGAAATTGCTGAAATGACATTCTGTTACCACAAATGCAATAGTATGTTTTTCCTACAAAATGAACATTATCCTATGTAACTATAATATAATCATCCAAATCATAAAATTAACATTGATGGGCTGGGGCTGTAGTTCAGTGGCAGAGTGTCTGTGTAGCATGTGTGAGGCACTGGGTTTAATCTTCAGCACCACCTAAAAATAAACAAATAATTCTGTCTATCTATAACTACCAAAAAAATCTTTTTATTTTTTTAAATTAACATTGACACATACTAACATCTAGTCTTCAGATCCCATTCATGGTTTAATGATGGCTCCAGAAATATTTTTTATAGAAAAAGAATCACATATTGCATTTAATTATTTTATTTCCTCAGTTACCTTCAATCTGCAACACTTACTTGGTCTTTCCTTGATTTTCATGACGTTTGAAAATATCTTGATACTTTTGAGGATCACAGGCCAATTATTTTGTAGGACTTTCAATTTTTCTTGTCTGCTGTTTAGTTTATGTGTGTGGATATTAGAGTTTCCCATGTTTGGCAGGAATATCACAGAAACGACACTGTGTTCTTTTAATAGAATTCTGTCAGGTGGCATGCAATTTAGAGTTTTCCAATTACTAATAAATATATTGTAATCATTTTATAGATATATATCTGTTAGGATTCTTCAAAGCTACTGGTTTTTCTTTGTAACTAATAAGTATTTGTGGGAAGGGCCATTTAGAACCATGCAGTTTATCCCATTTATCATCAAACTATTTATTACAATTACTATGAACTCAGGGTTTCCTAATTTATTCATTAAAGTTTAATTTATTATCATTTACATTTTCAAACTGGCCCTGATTTAACTTATGGTAGGCTCCTTGGGCTACTTTTGTGTCATTTTGGCATGTCCCCATCATTCCTGGGTGGGGTATTTCTATAATTTGGGGAACAAGATGCTTCAGGTTCACAGGGATTTTTAAATTTTAGTTCATTTTCAGACATAATTTCTCTGTCCCTAGCCTGGAATCAGCCATTTCTCCAAGCAGCCCTGGTTCCTTCTAATAGAAAATAATATTTAGCAACCAAGGATCTAGACACTTAATTGCTTATAACTTATTTACTCAACATTGCTTTCAGGCCATCTCAGTAGACAAGCTAGGGGATATACTTACACATGGGTATTTACCCCTCTATATTTTAGTATTTTTAAATATGTATATCAAAAAAAAATGAATTCATACTAATTCTTTCAATTCTAGTCCAACTCTATAAGCTTCATTCTAGTTTTCTCCTTTCCCGTATTTGTAATACCCTCATTCAACCATGAGAAACCTAACATCTGTTATCTTTAATATGTTTACTAATTTAATTTCCCTTATGTGACTGATTTCCCATTACTACTGCAGCTTCCTCCTATGTATGGATATATTCTTTATCCTCCGTGGCTCTAACAGCCCATGCATGGATCCCTACTAATATAAGAAGCTGCCAGTTGTTACTGGAGAAAGGAACCGGGTAACTGACTGATAAGAATGGAGAATTCAGTTTTGTTGTGCCCTATGTGTTTATTATATAATTATGAAACAAAAACTAAAAACATATTTTTCCTATTAAAAAGTGCATTGATTTTTTCCTTTACTAAAATACTAAATAGTTGTTTTAATCTTTATCAAGATAACCTTTTATTTTTTTTCAGAGTACCCCTGAGTTTCTCTGTATGTACAGATACATGTTCTCTGTATGTGTAGATATAAGAAAACAAGTTCTGATCCTGAAAAGATGTTGTTAGATAATTTTCCTGACAATTTCACATAATGCACCATATCTTCATAGTGACCTCTTAAAATTAAGAACATACCCAATTTTTTCTGGCCTAACTTCAAAGAAAATATTTATATGGGCTTATAATTATTAAAGGTATCCAGAAAACAAAACATGAAGCAATTAGTGATAAGAATGAGATACACAGATATGCTGAACTACATTCTACTCCAAATTGAAATAAAAACTCACAGTTTCATCAAACAAACAAACAAAAAAAAAAAACTGGGAATTTTCTATAACTCCATTCAATATTTACCAAACACCTATAGTATGTTATGCACTCGGAAATTTAAAAATAAAGTCTTTTCTGGAATCCTCAACTTCTTGTAGGGATGTGTTTAAGTAGAAACAACAGAAAACACACACACACAAATAAAACATTGGAAGGTTATATTGATTATTGTAAAATAAATAGAGAACAAAATTCATAGGGCATCTGGACCTAGTTAGCTTTTGGTTTCTAGGCAATTTGGCTGAAAATTTGGTATAAAACAAATTAAAATAAGTTTGTCCACTTAATAATTTGGTAAAATTATAATTTAGTAAAAGTCACCAAACAGATTTTTAAACAGGTAATTATTTCTGCTTTCCTCAGTTTGTAGCACAAAAAAATTTACAACATCCTAAGTAATCAACATTAAGGGATTAAAATGTTGGAGTTACTTAAAAATCTTTCACTTATATTCATAAAAATGAAAACAGACTAACCTTAACAGAAGAATAGACATACTGGTTGAAAATAAATAGGAAAAAAATTGTAGTTGAATAAAAAGTCTAGATCCTTTTGTCAGTTTCCTTCACTTAAAAAAAAAAAAAAATGTGTGTGTGGTTCATAGAAGCATTATTCATAATAGCCCCAAACTGGAAACAGTTTAGATGTCTATCAACTGACAATATATGCAAAATGTGTTTTATCTATATAGCTATTATTCACCAATAAAAGGGAATGACTTCTGTTGGCATGCTTCATTATAGTTGAACCTTAACAACATTCTTAGTAAAAGAAGATAAAAATTCTATCCATATTAAATGTCTAGAAAGGCAAATTTCAGAAGCAGAAAAAGTTATTATCTAGATCTAGAGGTATCGGCAGGAATTAACAACAAACAGCTATCAGAGAACTTTTTAGATGATGGAGATGTTCTAAAACTGGATAGTTGTGGTTGCACAATTCCATGAATTAAAGCCATATATTACATGCTAAAAGTTGAGTGGATTGTATGATGTGTTCATTATAACCCATTAAAACAGCTTAGAAAAAATGCATAGTCATTATAGAAAGTACTGATAAGTGTTTTGTTGTAGTTTTTGTTTTCTTAAGAAAAGCTTTTTAAATGAATCCCATTCATTCACTAGGAGTTATCATTCTGATACATCATTCATACATTATTCGTACAATATGATCTCATTTTTCTCCAAAAATGGAGTCATATAACATTCAGTTCAGTATTCCCAAATGAGGAAAATCCTCCTGGACAGCACAGAATTAAGTAAAACAAATATAGTCAGCTCCTCCCATCTGTGGGTTCTATATCTGTGGATTCAACTAATCACAGATTGAAAATATTCAAGGAAAAAAGTATGTCTGTACTAAGCCTATACAGATTTTTTTCTCCTTCATCATCACTATATAAACAGTACAATAGAAAAACTATTTTCATCACCTTTACTTTCTGTTATGTATGATAAATTATCTAAACATGATTTAAGATATGCAGAAGTATATACATAGGCTATAGGGAAATACCACACCATTTTATATGAAACTTGAACATCTGTGGATTTTAGATAGATAGGAGACAGTCCTAGAACCAATTCCCCATGGATACTAAGAGATGAGTGTATACAGTGTATACAGTAAAGGAACATACTTCATGTTCCCATTTTGTGGGATGGGAACATAAATCAATCTTGGATTATAAAAGTGAATTGATTGCTCTGATATTTCAGTTGCATAATTCTGATTAAGAATTTCAAAAGTGATATAATTTTTGCCTTTTTAAATTTAAATTAATTGGTGTTTTTCATTAACACTACTTCTCCTAGTTATTTTTTAATTCTTAAGTAACTCTATAATTAATATTTTCTTATTTTTATTTCTTTACAGGCCTACAGCAGTGAATTCTTTGATTTCAAAATATGGATTTCAGGAGCAGCTTCTGTACTGTGAGTTTTGTTTAAATTATAAGTTAGTTGGTGGTAGTAGTCAGCTTTCCATCAATATAACAAAATACCTGAAATAATTAACTTATAAAGAGAAGAGCTTTACTTTGGCTCATAGTTTTGGATATTCCAGTTCAATATCAGGTAGACTTATTGCTTTGAGCTTCTGATGACATGTCAGATGACAACTACAGGGAGCCTGTGGCATAGAAAAACCTTTTACATCAGGAGCCAAGGAACCAAAAAAGAGGAAGAAGCAGGATCGATCCCACAGCCACTTCAAGGTCCATCCCAGTGGCCTAACCACCTCCCACTAGGCCCCACTTCCTAAAGGCATCACCATCTCCCAGTTGCTCCACAGATGTACCTTTGGTAGACATTCAGCATCCACACCATAGCTGCTGAATATACTGTTAATATAAAACTTAATAATATTGATTTCTTTAATCTTAAAACAATATTACTAAAATATTTCATGGTTTGAAAAGGTTTCCATATAACGGTTTCCATATATGTGTTGATCTTTATATCTACCAGACATTTAGTATTGGATAATACTAGAGGATTGGAATGAAAATTTATACATGAATGAAAATATACATGTATACAGACTACTGTATATAGAGATTTAAAATTGTAGGATTGGGAATAATTTTTGCTTTGTTTCCTATGGTTTTTCATATTTTTAAATATAAAAGTAAATAGGGTTTCTCTAACAAAATTTTTGTAGAGTTTATAGCAATAAAAATATGGCTAAATTTTTAGCATTCAAACAACACAGTATCTCCCAATTAATCTTGGTCTATTGTCTGTTTTGTTTGTGTGTGTGTGACACTCTTATGCATTTTTGAGGTCTTTTTATGATTGGCTGGAATACTTTTTAAAAGCAGTGACTTAATCTTTCAATTCAGATGATATCTGTGCAGATATGAAAATCTAAAATGAATGGAAAAGATATTCAAGTATTGAATTAAAAATCTTCACTGTATTTTTCAGAATATGAATTTTAAATTTAAATTTTTTGTTTAAGACATTTTAAATTAAACTAATTGGAAGCTATGAAATAGAAGCTTGACACAATTTCACTATAATGTTAAGTTTTTCAAGTACTAATTGATAACTTGAGAACTTTGGTCAGAATTTCGAATAGATTTTTGTATAGTCACACTAAATTGAAAATCATGTTTTGTGGTCTCCTGAGAAATCTGGACTTTTTTGATATCATTGAAATTCCTATGTAAATTTTTTTATTAGTTACACATGACAGTATAATGATCTTGACAGTTCATACATTTGAATCAAATGGGGTATAATTTCTCATTTTTCTGAGTGTACAGGTTGCAGAATCTCATTGGTCATAGAGTCACCCCTATATACATACAGCAATAATAATGTCTGTTTTATTCTGCTGCCCTTCCTTTCCCCCCTTCCCCTCCCCTCCCCTCCCATCACTTCTCTCTACCCAATCTAATGTGACACACTTTTTTTTTTCCTCCTCACAACATCATACATATATTCTGTATAACGATGAGGGTCTCCTTCCATCTTCCATGCAATTCCCCTTCTCCCTCCTTTTCCCTCCCACCTCTCTTCCCTATTTAGTGGTAATCTTCTTCTCATGCTCTTCCTCCCTATCCCATTTTGAGTCACCCCCCTTTATCAGAGAAGACATTCGGCATTTGTTTTTTAGGGATTGGCCAACTTTACTTAGCATAATCTGCTCTAATGCCATCCATTTCCCTGCAAATGCCATGATCTTGTTATTTTTTAGTGCTGAGTAATATTCCATTGTGTATAAATGCCACATTTTTTTTTATCCATTCATCTATTGAAGGGTATCTAGGTTGGTAAATTTTTTTATATTAAAGGCAATAATTTTTTATAAGCCTTTGTGCCAGACATCTTTTAATTAGCTGGCTAATTCATTTATAAATGGCTCCTTTCTGCCTTCTTTTATCTTTTTTAGAGGATTTTAATGGTTAAAATAACAAAACATTTAGTTAAATTTTCTTGTTTAAATAAAAAGCATAAGTTTGTATTAATTGCAGCACTATGCATTTTTTCAAACTGCTCTCAGTCCTTATGATGGCAGTAGTGGTAGTAAAGATACTTAGTTAATATATATTGACTGCTTTACTGTTTCAAGCAGAATACTACAGCCCTATGAGACAGATATTGTTATTGTTCCATTTCACAGAGAAGAACATTAAGTCATAAGTTAATAGGTGTCAGAGTTGAAGTTTAGCCTTTGGAAGTCTGACTCCAAGATCCATCCTTTTACGCATGCTTACTTCTCTTTTATGTATAGTTGAAATGTTTTTCTGTTTAAACAGTGTAAATGTAATAACTAATTTAAAATTTTTATAACTTTATTTCATATTGCTGATCTAATATGTTCCATTATCTTGATTTTTCTAAGTATCAGGAAATTAAACTAGCTAACTCTAACAGTTGAATATTATCTATTTTCAAAGTGATAATTCACTTTAAAACAAATCATGAAATAAATAATGGCATTTTAGTTTTTTCTTTAAATAAATAAAAAAGTTCAATATGTTAATATTAGTTACCAAAAATTCCCTGTATTTACAACCTGAGTATTAAACTGTAAGTGGCAGGAAAGTTTTATTTATTTAAAGTATAATATATTGTTATTTACCTTTCAAATTGGTTTTTAAAAGGGTAAGAATAGTTTAACTGTGAAATGATAAAGTGGTTTTTTTTTTTTTACTATTTTTAAGATTTTACCTGTTCTGATTTATTTGTATTTGTATGTGTTTGTTTTAAGCTGTGCTCGAGGAACTTGTTAATAATGGACGGTTACGAGGCACTGTAATTGGTGGGAGACAGGACAAAGCTGTGTTTGTCCCTGACATCTACTCCAGGACACAGAGTACTTGGGTGGATTCTTTTTTCAGGCAGAATGGTTATCTAGGTAACTTTTTAAATTTTCTTTAAACCTAAAATTTTGTTCTAATGCTAAAACATTTCTGGAGGGTATTTATACTAACCCTGGAGTTAGTATGTACTTTGCTATTGTTGATTGTTATTGAGCTTCTAGGTATATTGATGACACAAAATTTCAAATATTTCAAACTCATAAAAGTAATTATACTATATCTTACATTCTCTGAAACTGTCCAGTTTTTTAGTTACAGCATCTTAGAAATATTTATTGACTGTCCACTTTACAATGTTCATTTGTATCAGTTATATAGTACTTCAGAAACATCAAAGTTACTCTAAGTTTTGTTTCTCAGGTTCTGCTATCATATCATTAAAAAAACAGCTTTATAACCCAAGTCAAACCACATAACAGATTATTTCTCAATAATAAACCTATAAATAAACCTATAATGAACAGTTTAAATATATCCTAGGATAATGGACTTCATTTATGCTTACTTGACTTCTGTGACAAACTTTTTAGCTTCTTCAACCACAGAATTGAATTAGAACTTTGTTATATCTAGTTTTCCTAAGTGTGATTATCTGGATAGGGATTGTGTGGTGAGGAAGGTAGATAATCTTCAATAACTAGAATGTCTGTATATTTAAGTATATTTTTATGTTAAATCTTTTTCTAACTTAAATTAGACTGAAGAACTACTTTGTCCTAAGTTGTCTGCTGATACATTTTGAAAAATAGATTCCATTCCTTAAATATATTAAGCAAAATTAATTCCAGTTTAATTTAAATCATTCCTTCTCCTTTGCTCCCATTTTTGATCACATTGTTGTGAAGTCCTCATGTCTTCCTTTGGTCCTTCAATTGGAGAGGGGTTGACATAGCTGATATTCAGGAAGATACTCGAACCACTTTCTGTACACATATCTTTAGTTTTAAATTTTTCATAAGGCAGGAAATAAGGTGCAATTCTTTTCTGTTTTATTCCTAAAAAATAGTAAAATGCAGTACCTTTGTGATTGAAGAATAGATATTGGTGGAACGTTTTGTATGATTTCTAAAAGGTGTAAATGATTTCCAACTTTGTTATATATTTCCAGTTCTTTCCAACTTTGTTATATATTTCTAGAATTTGATGCCTTGTCCAGACTTGGAATCCCAGATGCTGTAAGCTACATAAAGAAAAGATATAAGACTACACAACTCTTGTTTTTGAAAGCAGCTTGTGTTGGTCAAGGACTTGTGGATCAAGTGGAAGCATCGGTAGAGGAAGCCATCAGCTCTGGAACATGGGTTGATATTTCAGTATGTTTTATCTTTTTATTTTTCCTTAATTTTTCTTTAAGCCAAGGACACATGTTTCACTAGTAGATAGCCATTTTAAAAATTAGGATACATAAAGGTAGTCTTGGCTTTAAAGGTCAATTTTATTAGTCATTATTACAACAAAGATAATTTTAATTATTTTAAGCTTAAAGTTATTTCTAACCTTTAAAATAAAGAATATCCTTTTACATGTCCATAATCAATATCCAGAGTTTTATGAATCTCAAAATAAACAAGTAAATAATATAACACTCATATCAATCCTGATACAGAAATCAATGAGATTTTTCACATCTTATCCATGCACTTAAACAACCACTGTCATCAGGCACTGTGTAGCATTTATTTATCTCTTATCTGTTAATCTCTGCTAATATGTTAACATAAGCTGCCTCTGGCATTGATAGTGTTTTACTTCAGTGTTCAATGTTGACCTGCCCTTCATTATGCTAAAAGGATACATATAGGTAAAGATAAATAAGAGGTCAATTCTTTATTTTTAAGTTAGGAGTCAGAACCTCTTTATAAAGCAGAATTCCATTTGGAATATGAAAGTTCCCAAGATTTTCTATTCATGCAACAAAATTTATGAAATACTTTCTGTATGTGAGGCATCATTCTACTTGTTGGGTGTATGGCAGCCAAACAACTTTTCTGCTGTCAGGAGGGACACTTTTATTGGTGAAAGTTTAATCAAAATGACAATTTCAGATAGTAGAAAAAGCTAAGAGGACATATATTTTGTGGATTTGTAAGAGAGAGAAGCTGAGTGTGACTTGTAAGTTTGGGTGTTTTGAACCATTATTGAAATGCCTATTAGGCATACAAGTGAGGAAATGATGTAGGAAGTAAGATATATAATTCCAGAGCTCCAAGTGGTATTGAAACCAGAAATATAATTTTGGGAAGTTATCAGTATAAATATTGTTCCTAAAGTCACTGGACTTTATGAAACCACCTAGAGAGTGTGTATATATTATGTGTGTATACATAATATATGGGTATATAAGTATAATAATATACATATAATACATATAATAAATAAATTAAAATTATATATATGATATATACACATAGAACAAATACATACTGTAATGTGTATATAATACATATATTTACATATACATAATATATGGAACAAATGGTTTATCTGTATTATATTGCATTTTCATTTTGTATTTATTTTGTTTGTAATTCTAGCCTCTGCTTCCCAGTTCTTTATCAGTTGAAGATTCTGCCATATTGCTTCAGCAGGTGATGAGAGCATTCAGTAAACAGGCTTCAGCTATAATCTTTAGCGACACTGTTGTGGTCAGTGAAAAATTTATAAATGACTGTACAGAGTTATTCAGTGAATTGATGCACCAGAAAGCTGAAAAGGTATACCATGTTTCCTTTCATTGATCTCTCTAAACAGTATTTTCACATTAGAATCATCTGTCATGTCTTTTGAAAAATCGGATAAACAGTCTACCCAAAAATGAACACTTTTAATTATACATCATTTTCCCTTTAATAGATCATTCTTTTTTATTTCCTCTCACAGATTCATATTTCTTTTTCTTTAGTTTCATCAGAATATATATTAGAACTTGGAAAAATAATTTTACAAATTGAAATCACATAAATTATACATATCTGTGGATATGTAAAAGTATAGTGTATTTGTACTGTACACACACAAAATATATATATATATATATATATGGTGTTTTTGGGGGGTGGGGGTGGTACCAGCAGTTGAACTCAGGGGCACTCAACCACTGAGCCACATCCCCAGTCCCACCCCCCCTTTTTTTTTTTTTTGGTACTCAGGATTGAACTCAGGGGTACTCAACCACTGAACCACATCCCCAGCCCTATTTTGTATTTTATTTAGAAACTGTTTCACTGAGCCTGCTTTTGCTGAGGCTGGCTTTAAACTCAATGAGCCTCCTGCTTCAGCCTTCTGAGCTGCAGGGATTACAGGCATGCACCACTGTGCTGGACAATAAATGTATTTTTTAAATCTATCAGATCTTTGTTAATTTTACATAGCCAGAGTATATAAATAGGTAACTAGCTGAGAATAGGAATTTTCTGTCAAAATTGATTAGTCTTACAGAGCAACTGCTATCAAAGTATTTTGAAGAAGAGGCAATGCTAGGTCTGTCTTAATGACTGTTGAATTCATATTTCTAATTAACACCATCTCTTTATAAAGTTTGCTTGAGTAGATAAAACAAGTCCTGTATTTTAAACTGCTAATAAATTCACGTAGGCTTAATAAATATGTAATCTGTATTTTTCTATACTCCTTTTAAGCTCTTTGATATTAGGAAACCTAAGTTTAAAAATGTTTATTCTATATATTACTTTGGACAAGTAGGCCTCCAATTTCCTTATCTTCAAAGAAAAGATGATGATGCCTACTATGTTAAGGATAAATATAAAGGGATACATATAAATGTCTGTTGTAGTTTATTAAATTATTATTTTTATTTATGATTATTAACTAAAATTAAAACATTATTATCACTTTTTTAGTATTCTGTCTAACCACAAAAAAAAATGGTTCCGAGAAAGGCATTTGTATTACATGAACTGTAAACATTCTAAGCATTTTTCTTTAGAAAACCAAAGAGGAAATTATAGCATTTTTACCATGAAAATGTACTTTTGACACTAGAGATTATAGAACCCTTTCCCACAAGAAAGAACAAATCTCTACACATAGAAATAAATAGTTCCGTGTTGTAAACATCAACTTTTAAAAAGCAGAGATAATCAAGAATGAATCCAGAGGAAAAAATAGATTTATGTGAATTAGTGTGGTTATATAGGTAGGGAATGTCATTTTCATTATCTTTCTTATAATCTCAAGTAACCAGGTGGTACTGGACTTGAGAGTATCAATAAACAATGGTAAGATTAGCCAATAACAGCTGAGGAGAGTTGCTCAGTGACCAACCATAAGTTCGGCAATAACATAGGGGTTCTCATTATTTTGTCTAGTAATGCATACAAAAAGCCAAGAACAACAGAAGAGACTGATTTTTAGCAAGGAGAAATTGCCTCAGAATGGCAGTTGTGAAATAAAGCTTGATAGTTCTTTATAATTTATACAGTATATAAGCAACTTTTACTTAATGCTTTTCAAATGCTATATATATTTGACCATTAAAAATTTGTTTAATTTCAGGAAATGATAAATAATCCTGTGCATTTAATCACTGAAGAAGATCTGAAGCAAGTTTCCATTCTAGAAAGTGTTAATACAAATAAAAAGGATAAAAAAGATGAACGCAGGAAGAAAGCAACAGGTAATAAATTATTATCAATAAAGAAGATTGAAAGATGAGTTTTTATTTGTTGTAGTGAACTTTGCATTTATTAGGCCTTTTGAAATACCTTTTACTGATTGATTCACTTTTAACTACTCATATCAACCAAATCTTTCACTAATGTATTAAATTTATTTAAGCTAATGGATTATTGGTGATTGCATATTCTGTTTTCTCTTGTAAAAAAAAAAAAACTGACTAAATTTTATGATTGTGCCCAACTCCTGTTTTCTCACTCACTCTGTATTCCAGCCCAGGGTTTTTTGTTTGTTTTGTTTTGTTTTGTTTTGTTTGATTCTCAAAATTCCCAGTTCAAGGCCTTTACACTAGCTGCTCTCTACCTGTAATGCCCTGTCCCGAACTTCAAGTAACTGGTTCCTTCTTTTCATTTAGAGCTCAACTTTAAATGTCTTCCTCAGAGGCTTCTACAACCCCTAAAAAATAGTAGCCATAGTCACCGTTTATCTTGCCAGTTTCTTTCCTTATTTTATTACTGTGTTATGTTTTATTGTTTGGGAACATTGTCTATCTCTGTTAGTGGTTGTATTTCTAGTACCTAGAGCACCAGTTGGCATATTTTAGATGATCTGTAAATATTTATTGAATGAGTGAATTTCCCAATGAGTCATTGTCTTTTTAATTTCCTTTTTAAAAATTTATAGTCACTGGAAATTATTCTAGGTAGCACTGATATACTAGTAACTTGCATTTGAAAAGCGATATGTATTTTCCATTCTTGTTTCCCTAGGAAAAAGTTATTAATGCCATATCAAGACTAAAAAAAAAAAAGATATTCAGTATTTTTCGTTAATTAATATGTAGCTACATTAAAAATACTTTATAAAAACTAAATTTTTGCTATGTGAATTCACTTTTACTTTGTTGAGATAGTTTCTTCTTCTAAAGCATTTTCATCAAAATCTTGCAATGGTCTTTTGAAATTTCTCTCTATTCTTTCAGGAGAACTAGAGAACTATAGTAAATTACTTCAATATATCATAGTAATATTCATAGTCATGCACGTTTTATTTTGTTTAAATATATAATTTTAAATGCATCTTAATTAACTGGTGAATTATGTCAGGATAACTAGTTTGTTTTTTCTTTATGAATATAAGGTCATATGGATTTTTATCTCATTGAATTATATTGCAGTAGTTTAATTATAGTATATGAAATCCTGTCTCAAATACAAATGTCCTTCCATAAGAAACTTATTGCCAAATATGAAAGAGCACATTCACTTTATATGTGTGCTTATGAAGACAGTATGTTTCCATCATAAAAGCAAGGGAAAGGTAAATTAATAGAAGTCTTAATTCTTGGATATGATGAAATCTAAGGGAATTCTATTTAGAATTTAGAAATGTATCATTAGTTTATAGAAATCCCAATAGTTTATTGAAAAAAAAATTATGAAGAAATATAGTTACAATATTTTATAACCCATTATCAGTATCCTATTTTGTAGAATAGATATTTGAATGTAAATATCTATTTATTTACTTTTTTGAAAGTGTTTCAGTTTGCTTCATAATTTTTATTTTTTTAGTCTTTAAACTGTGATCAGTAATGATTTTTTTTTTTACATAACTATCATGGTAAACATTTATTGAGCACCTAGAATATTTCAAACATTTCTGTATCCCAAAAAGTACAAACAGTGAGATGTGCTCCTTGCTATCAAAAAATTTGCGATTGAGTTGAGTGGTCAGTGAGTCAGGATGTCTCCTAAAGATGGATAATACTCTTTCAAGCAAGAAAACAAAACCAAATATAGCTATATTTGTGAAGTTTCATAATAGGGGGTTTTAATAATACTGTGACAACAGAGATGAACAAATGAAAACACTTTGGTTGGGGGGGAGGTGGGTACTAGGGATTGAACTCAGGGGTTCTCAACTACCGAGCCACATCCCCAGTCCTATTTTGAATTTTATTTAGAGACAGGGTCACTGAGTTCCTTAGCACCTCACTGTTGCTGAGGCTGGTTTTGAACTTGTGATCCTCCTGCCTCAGCCTCCCACGCTGCTGGGATTACACATGTGCAGCACCATGCCCAGCAGCACATTTCTTTTGGAGGTAAAAGAAGATATGAAGGAATGGGTTTAGCTAAGAAAAGATCAGACATAGCTACAGAAGTAACATAAGAGGAAGAAACTGCTTTTAGAATAGGCAGAAGAAGGTTGCCGAAATTCAAGAGGATTCATATTTTATTTTTTTTATTGATCAAATGTACTTTAATTGTCTTTCTGCTCTGAAGTTAAGTACAACAATACATGTCATCATTTTTCTAATACTAACTCATGTCATTTTCATTATATAATACTAACTAGCTTCATTTTCCACCAGAGGGCAGTGGAAGTGTGAGAGGAGGAGGATGGGGCAACGCCAGAGAATACAAAATTAAAAAAACCAAGAAGAAAGGAAGAAAAGATGATGACAGTGATGATGAGTCTCAGTCATCTCACACTGGTATGTATTTTTATCCTTTCTTTGTGTATGTACGATTTTTTTTAACAAATTTTCTTGATATTCATATCATTCATAAATATGATACTTATATAGGAAGTACTTGCTTTGCATAGTTTCACTGGAGACAAATTTCAGGAATCACAATTTAGTTAAATATCATCCCACCAATAATACAGCCTAACTTTCAGTTACCACATTACCCTGATATATTAACTGCTAGTAGTTGAATTCAAGTACAAACTTTACTGCTAGGTCTTCAGGACATGAATCACTATATAAATAATAGATGTGCTGGGCACAGTGGCACATACCCGTAATTCCAGTGCCTCAGGAGCCTGAGGCAGGAGAATCGAAAGCTCAAAGCTAGCCTCAGCAAAAGTGGGGCAACTCAGTGAGATCCTGTCTCTAAATAAAATACAAAACAGGGATAGGGATGTGGCTTAGTGGTCAAGCACCCTGAGCTTAATCCCCAGTACCAAAAAAATATTTTTTTGATTAAAAAAATAATAGATACATATTATGATCACTCATTTTTAAGGTTTGTCAGTAGTTGATTACTGTACATCCATTATTCTTTATGCACAAACAACAAAGCATATAGTTGTTTTGCCTTTGTCTCCCAATGATAAACCCATGTGACATTTTTAAAAAATGGATAATAAAGATGAAAGTGCAGAAATGAAAAGTAATGACACTGGAAATAAAATTGAAACCAAGTATAATGGAATAATAGAAGGAATGGCAGATTGTGGGAGTATTGACAGTGCCATTGTTCAGGAGACTCTAACTACACACAAAAGAGGAACAGTAAAGGTGAACTTATTGATATAAACAGAGAAAATGGTTATGACAAAAAGGATATAAATTTCTTAGAGAATGTAAAATTGGCAAAAGAAATCCCATTAAAAGAACTCTTGGAAATGCTTCAAGACATTGAAAGGCAAAAGATAAAGTGTTGAAAGCTGATACAGACATTTTATGCATATTTAATTTTTATAATTTTTATAATAATACCTAACTGCTTATGTCTAAAGGGGAGAATTAATTAAGTGTATCTTTCTTTTCCTTGAGTTGTTAGTGTTTGGCAATATTAAGTCTGCAAGAGACATTGTATTTTGTTTTTCTAAATAAAAGTATGCATAATTTTTTATTTTTTTCTGTTAAAGAAACCATGATACTACTCTCCTCCTCATCCTCAGCAAAAATAAAATTGAAAACAAACCTCAAATGATAATTTGAGATTTTTTCTTTTTCACAGAGTTTATTGCCTATGAACTATAGCTGAGAAATGCAAATTGCAAAGGACATGGCTGCAGCCATTAATGTGCTTCTGTTTTTAATAGCTTAAGATTTGTCTTTAAAATATTCTAAGAAGGTTGAAATAGCTACTGTTCTTGACATGCATAAAACAATGTTAATTAAGAAAAATATCTTTGTAGAAACCACTCCTGTTACCTATCCTTATTTTGAATAATATTAAGACTCTCTTATATGTGTTTTAATTTCTCACTGATAAATAAATTTCCCTATTGCCTAGATGTGCTAGGAATGAAGGTAAAGAGATATTTAAAAAATACTTCTCTGATTCTGTAATTGTAAATAAATGAAGCATGTGATATTCTTTTTGTGTGTGTGTAGATTATTGGGAGGTGCTATTAAAGTAGTAAAATCATTCTACCTAAAACAAATGTAATTTCAGTGCTTTTGAAAAATATTGTGTTGTAATCTCTGAAATGGACAGTAAAATTTGGTTTTCAGCTTAAAATTTAAGATCAGTTCAATATGAAAGATTCCTGAAAGGAAATTAGTAATTTGTAAAAGGTATGCAAGATGCACACAGAAATTCATAGATTGTTTAGTATGAACATCAGGGATAGACAGCAGCTCTCAGAAAAGAAGGATACTACTTTAAAGTGTGATTTCAACTGTTTAGATCTTCATTCATATTGAAAATTGAATTTTGAGTTGTTTTATTTTTTATTGCTAATACTCCACTCATATAACCAATAACCTAATTTAGCTGGATATAATCACTTTATACTTTCACAGTTTCTACTGGAAATATTGTTAGCTTTGTCTTCAACCCACACTTTTACAAGTAAGTGAGTAGATAAAACATTTCCACATTTATAATTATTATGATTTCATTAACTGCCTGCGTTTCCTTATTACAGAATTATTTTTTAAGAGAAAAAATAAATTATGGCTGTAAATTATGCTGTTTGTGTCTTTCCAAAAAGGTAGTTTGAACAATTGTACATGAATTGATTCAGCTTAAACAATTCTACTGGAGTTGTGGTTCATATGATTATAAAAACTCCCTGAAGATCTTGTGCAAATTACAAAATATTTACTTTTATAAAGAAGAAAATTCTACACAGTGTCTACTGTTAAACAAAATATCCTGTCTTAAAAGATTATTTTCTCTCTTCTTGATTGTTTTGATTTCCAGCTATTTTCATCAGCCAAGTGAGGAAGAAAAATCATTTCATTTTTGTAGAAAACAGCTGTATGTGTGTGTGTGGCGCGCGCACACGTGTGAGGTACTGGGAATTGAGCCCAATGCCACTCTACCATTGAGTTACATCCTTTACCCATCTTATTTTTTATTTTGAGACAGGGTCTTACTGTGTTACCCAGGCTGATCTTGAACTTGAGATCTTCCTGCCTCAGCTTCCCAAGAAGCTGGGACTACAAGTATGCACTACCACACCCAGCTGAAAAGTCTATAACTTAAATTCAATTATAAAATGATTAGATATAATAATAAATTAGAAATAATAAAAGAAATTCCACTACATAGCTTATTGTTTTTATTAGTTATAGATATTTGATATTAGTTATCTTATTGACATAATAACTAATATCAAAGTCTCTGATAGATAATGAATGAATTACCATCTTAATAAGTATATTAGTGGGACTTTATTTGCTTTTTGGTTGCTTATATGTTTAATTTTGGTTGATTTTTTTTTCCCCCATTGCTCCTGTCTGTTTAGCAAAGAAGAAGCCAGAGATCACTTTTATGTTCCAGGATGATATTGAAGATTTTTTAAGAAAACACATTCAAGATGCCCCTGAGGAGTTCATTTCTGAACTTGCTGAATATTTAGTAAAGCAAGTATAAAACATTCTTCAGTTTCTGTTTTGTGATAGCAATTCAGTGAGTTGTTAAGTAAAATTTTCATGAAGATCAGAAAGCATATATTTTAGGTATTTTCAAAGATTAGCATTTAATCCAGCCAACAAACTCTGTATTTTATTTGTCTTGGGAAGCTGTTAGTACCACAGATCTTTGGTTAGTTCTTTGGGCAAGGCAGTATGGGAAATAAAGCCGAGAAGCTTTGAAGATGTGCCCTCATTCACCAATCTTGCAGTCTTAAATCGTAGTCAGGGAAGAAAACACCAGTATTCTAGTTTGATTTGACAGAAAATTTTTAAACTGTTTATTTTGAAGGAGAAAATAAGTAATAAATTGTCTCAAAAAGAATAATTTAAATACTATTGCCTTTTTTAAAAAAATATTTTTTTAGTTGTCATTGGACCTTTATTCTATTTATTTATATGTGGTGCTAAGAATCAAAGCAAGCACTCTACCACTGAGCTACTGCTATTGCCTTTTGAATGAGCCAGACTTTTTTTTACATGCAAGAGTAAAGGAAGTTATATATAACCATCATTAACCAAACCTGGTCATCCCTGAAGTTAGTCTCAATATATAAGTTGCCATAAATACAATCCAGGCGTCTGGTGCATGAACTTTTTATATGTATAATTGTAGCTTTTGCAGTGAGAATTTTTTTTAATTTAAGTAACTATTTTTACATTTAAATATACTACAGAATTTTGTTTTTCACATATTTTAAAAAAAGTGAAATAGTTAAGTTGTAATTCCTAAGAATGGGAACAGACTTATAGTATACTCTTCTTCAAATTAATATTAAAAAACTATTTTGATTTGTGTACTGTTACTGTTGTTCTTGTCATCTTTATTTTCCCCATATTTTTATTGGTGCATTATAATTATATATTATTCTTGTAATCTTTAGAGCAATAACTTTTACAACTTTAAAATTTAAGTGTAATAGTTTATCTAAGTTACAATTCCTGGAGCTAGGAGACAAATTTTTAATGAACTCTTCTCCAGATTAATTTTATGAGTTTGGAAAAATAGATTTTTTAAAGCCTTATTTGAGTAGATATAACATTTCTTATTTACATCAGTTAAATTCAGTACATTTTTATAATTAACTGTATTTGTCTTGTGCACAGACCTCTTAATAAAACCTATCTTGAGGTGGTACGTTCAGTATTCATGTCTTCAACTTCTGCTTCTGGAACTGGCAGAAAACGCACAATCAAGGATTTACAAGAAGAGGTTTCAAATCTATATAATAATATTAGGTTATTTGAAAAAGGGATGAAGTTTTTTGCAGGTATACTTAATACTGTTTTTTCATTGATTCTCATAATTCTGGGAGGAAGTTAGTTTTAATAAAGTGCCTTTCTTTTCCAGATGATACACTGGCTGCTCTTACTAAGCACTTACTGAAGACAGTGTGTACTGACATCACCAACCTCATTTTTAACTTCTTAGCTTCAGATTTAATGATGGCAGTAGATGATCCTGCAACCATTACAAGTGAAGTATGTTAGTGATCTTCTTCACATTCCTGATGTGTTGAGTCTGAGCAGTTTACTTTCACTCATTTGAAATAATTTAAAAGAAAAATAAAATACAGGAAGGAATTTTTTCTAAAACATCTAAAAGGCTTTTAGTTCAAGTAATGTTGTATAGATAGTTGCTAGCAGGATTGGTAATGTAACCAGTCTACTAAAAGTTAATAATAATTACTTTGGAATAAACAAGGCTTTTACTTTCCTAATCATTATGTCACATTTTCAATTTTCATGTTGGCTTGTAAATCACATAATATTCTGATCAATTTCTATAACTTTATAGTAATTTTCATTTAATGACACCATCTCATTTCAATATTTAAACTAACTCCAGATCTTTTCTAACACTAATCTCGAACTAAATTTAAAAACATATGACTTCCTTTATTGTAATAAATTGTAGAGTTGTCTCCTATTTGCTTAGAGGAAGAAAAATGTCCTGAAGATGACAATGATAACTGCTCCTTCTCTTCCTTTTCCTCTCTTCTTCCTCATCCTTCTTGGTTCACAAAAGCTTGGAGATTTAAGGAAAATGAGTGAGGTGGATGTATCTTCATGTAATTGACTGCATATAACTTACTTTGAACTAGATCAAACCAAATCATTCTAATGCTTATGGCCTCTAGTAATGTGGTTGTTGCCACATAGGTTACATGAGTTGTTCTTAGAATGACATTTAGTTTAACATTACTCCCCCTCATAGGAAGGACCATTTCCCAAACGAATGTATATTTTTTTCTCCCTCCAGCCTCTAGGCCCCTTCCCTTCTTCAACTTGAGTAACAAATCACCAGCTGTTTAGACAGTCCCATGTCTATTGCTTCTGTACCAACTTCTATTGTAGGAAATAAAGAAGATCTTGTTCCATGCCCTTAAAGAACCATAGAAGGCTTAGTATAAGGTGGGACAAGGAGGCACTAAGTTGCCCCTGACTTCCTATACATACTGTACCCTTTAGGGCCTACTGTCAAGCCATTTCAGTAGGCCTCTTCCAGAAATTTTGTACTAGAAGGAGCTATCTCTGACTTTGGCCAAGAATGCCACCAAACTTCACCAAATATGAATATGTGTGGATAAAAGTATTGAAAGATTCCTTATATCATACAGCGTAAAAAGAATCTAGCCATGGAACAAGATCTCAGCCCCCATCCTATAGGTAGCTCTGTTCCTTGTGAGTGAGGCTCTTCTCAGCTGGCACCAGGGAAGGAGGAGCCTCTTAACCCAACTAACTACTCTACTTCCCACAATAGCATTGACTTTCTTTCCAGCCTTCTTATATTACGGGAGCAGGTGGGAGGAGTAGGACTGTATCTACCTTTTTGTTGACTACTGGTTAGCTCTCTGATTTTACAATATGTTTAATCATATTTTTATTCCCAGTTTCAGATGTAAAATTCAAGAACAAAATAAATTCCACTCAGCATTCTGTTACAGTAATAAATATACTTTATTCTTTTGTTTTCATTGATCTTATATTCACTACGTGTTGAAAGCACAATACTGAAAGAAATTTTCCCCCTACAGGTAAGAAAAAAAATTTTAAGTAAATTGTCAGAAGAAACCAAAGTAGCTCTAACAAAACTGCATAACTCTCTGAATGAAAAAGTAAGTAAAGTTTGATTCTAGTTAGTTACTGCAGCTAAACTCTTATGTTATAAAAATCTTTTAAGTAGAATTTTATCATAAAAACAGTAAACTATAAAAGCTAGAATTGTATACTCAGATACACCTTTAGGAGGGGAAGTAGACAAAACCGAGAACATTTTACCATTTTTAGTTCTAAATCAAAATTTCTAATTTAATGCCAAAGTGACCTTTTAAAAATTGTATTTAGGGTGTAAAATTAGAAAACAGTATTAAATGGCTATATTTCTTCAGACACCTATATATAAAAGCAAATTATGCTATTAACTATCTTTTTAGAGCATAGAAGACTTTCTTTCTTCTCTGGATTCTGCTGCAGAAACTTGTGATATTATGGTGAAAAAGGGAGACAAAAAAAGGGAAAGGTAACATTGAATTAATTTGTGTTACTCTTAAATTGAGCTGTTTCATATTTGAAAGTTGAATTATTACTGTCTGAACCTTGCCTAGAGAACTGTATCTAAATAACTATATATCTTCAAGCATGTCAAGGTTTTGATATAGGTAGGTATTCCTATCTGACCTTCTTAATAATGTAACAGAGCTCATAATCCCAGAGTTGATTAAGCCTGGGACTTTTTGTGAGCTTTGGGACCTTCCTTATAGGAAATCTTATTTAAATCAGTGCAGTTCTGTTTGATCACCAACAGCTTAAAACAGAAAGTGTATTTCAAACATCTCTGCTCTATAGAGTTTTTTCTGTAACTTTCTGGTATGCTAGTCTGTCCATGTCTGTTAGGGTGCTGGTTGTGTATATACCCCATATTTGAAGGATTTCTTAAAATATTATGGAACTAGATCATTAAACTACAAAGTGATAAAGTGAATACAGAGGGGAAAAATTGAGATTGGTGAGAAAGTATTAAATTATGTCTTTTTATGATTTGATTCTTGTTTAGACAGATACTATTCCAGCATCGACAAGCACTGGCTGAACAGCTGAAAGTCACAGAAGACCCTGCTCTTATTCTGCACCTCACATCAATCCTGTTGTTTCAGTTCTCAACCCACAGCATGCTCCATGCACCTGGAAGATGTGTCCCACAGATCATTGCTTTTCTTAATAATAAAATTCCAGAGGTATTAACATTTTTCAATACATTTGAAATTTTCAAGCTTTCAAATTCTTAATATTTTGAGTGAATAAACACAAATCATTGTCAACTCTCAGGCACAACATATTAATATCATCTGCTTGCTTCCAAGAATGTAAACAGTGAATTTGTTTTATTGTTTTTAATTTAACATAGCTCAAGAACTTTTCAGGGCTGGAGCTATGGCTCAGTGGTAGAGCACTTGCCTCACACAGGTGAGGCACTGGGTTCAATCCTCAGCACCACATAAAAATAAATAAAGAAAGAAAGAACTTTTCAGAATCCTTTAAGATCCATGTAAAGAATGTTCTGAATTTGAAAATTAAGCTTTCAGGAAAAATACAGAATGTCAGATCTCCTATTTTAGTTTCTCCTTCCTTCTCCTTTCTCATCATAGGATCAGCATACTCTTTTAATATAAAAGTATCAAGGTTTGGTTGTAAAGCAATTAACTTACCTTCAAGGTCTAGTTCAAAAGTCTTGTCCTATACAAATTCTTTTGAGAATCCCCGCCCCTCAGCTAAAAGTCATTTGGCTTCTTTAAATCTCCTTATCACTTTGTACTTTGGTGTTAGAAACTAGCTAAGTCAACTTTTACTAAATTGATCTATGTTCATGGTTTATTTCCTCTAAGCTGTAAACTCCTTGAAAGCAGGGACCTTGCTAGATTCAGCTTTCTACTTACATGACCAGGGAGGGCTTCATAAAGTTGAGGACCTTCAATGCATATTGTCAAACAAATCCTACTTCTTTAGTTCCACATAAAATTGAGTTGTGTTTGTAACTTTTCCTTCTTCTTCACAGGATCAGCATACTCTTTTGGTAAAGTATCAAGGTTTGGTTGTAAAACAGTTAGTTAGTCAAAAGAAGACTGGGCAGGGAGATGATCCCATGAGTGATGAACTAGACAAAGAACAACAGGATGTCACCAATGCTACTCGTAAAGAGCTTCAAGAGCTTTCTTCATCCATTAAGGACCTTGTTCTCAAATGCAGGAAATCATCAGTGACAGAAGAATAATGATCTTAGTTTGCTTTTGTTATATAGTGAGCATTTTCCCCAAAACTTAAACTTAAAGGTGAGTAGTCACAAAAAACAGTCAGTGGCAACTCTCCCTCGCTCCCGCACAATTCAATTAAAATAGTAGTGTTCTATTAAATGTAAATCTTATAAAACGTGAATTTTGGTAAAACTGGGTTCTCGAAAGTTTTTCTTTTCACATAAATTCTATGTGCAACTTTTTAGATAAAAGTTATTTTCACATAATTCTAAAAAAATACATTTTAGGTTTATTCCAGATGGTAAATGAAGAATGAATTTTTCTGGAAAAGTACTTATTCATTTGCTATTTGATTTTTTAAGTGATATCTATATTTATTATATTCACTTAAGCAGAAACTTAAAATTTGGTCACTTTAAAAAAGAAGAAAAGGGAAATAAAGCCTTCAGTGTGTCAAAAGTAAAAATAAATCACATTTTATTTTAAGTTAATAGAGTTGCTTCAAAAATAAAATACAGGAATTTTCAGAATATATATATATATATATATATATATATATATATATATATTATTATTATTATTATTATTATTATTATTATTATTAAGTCCTTGCTCTAATTTGGGCCTAGTAAGAGCCTTCCACGTAAAAGTTTGCAGGGGCTTCTGGGATGCCTTTACAGGTGGGAACACCAGAGAAGCCTATACATTGCTATGCTCTGTTACCAAACAGGCTGCTGAGAAAAGTGAGAGAAAACATGAAATTGACTGCTTATAGATATGTCACATTTATATTGGTATGACTAAAAATTTAATACAAAGATTTTTGATTAATCCAGTTTACATTTCTAAATTTTGCTTTTTATTTCAGTAGATGCTTTAACATCTAATTCTTTGGAAGTATTTATGTGACAAATTGTTAAGCTGCTTTTTTTAGCGGTGAGAGGATCTATAAATGCATTTAAATCATTGGAACCTTTTTTTTTCCAATAATAGAAAACTTATAAAAATTAAATATTTTTGTTTTGTAAAGATTGTGATTTAAAAGTAATTAACATTATTCTTTGGAGTAATCATTTCAACCAAACAAATTTTAAGCAACAATTTAGTATTTAAAAAAAATTTAGTAATTTTGAATATAATAGAAAATTAAATCCCAAATATGAAAAAATATTATTTTATATAATTCCATTTATGGCATTTGAAACTTTATATTTTAAAATGTTTAAATGCAAAATTCAGACTACCTCCACTTTGTTTTAGAAAAAGTGTTAATCCTGAGTGAAATTAATGTAATTTCTAAGCATTGTTATTAAAGTTGATAGGATTGTAACACTAAATTTAAAAATGTGTTCCCATGGGTAATGTTCTAATATATGTTTTCATAAGAGCAAAAGAAGAAAAATGACAAATCTCTGTGACTACAGAGTCTTAATTTATTTTTGTTTATGCAACTTCCAAAATATTGAACACTCAGCATATTTAACTCCGCATTTAAGGACCTTATCATTTATGTTTCAGCAGATACCAAAGTAATTCTTGTTTATGTTAAACTAGATCATAGAAAATAAATAGAAGAGACCATGAAGCAAATAAAATCATTCTGACTTAATCTATGAAAATAAAGTAGAAGAGACAATGAAGCAAATAAACATGCATTCTGTATTAACTTGTTTGCATTAAATTTTTTTCATTTGTCAAAACAGTTATTTTTTCATAGAAAATGAACATTTTTATTGTTTTGTAAATAAAATTATATAAGTGATTTTGTATGTAAAGATCTAATTTCAATAAAGTTAAAATTGTTAAATGGCTATCCACTATGATCTTAATGAGCAGTGTTAAGACTATTTAAAGTTACCTATTGTTCTATTAGATTTTATGGTATTATATATCTTCCTTTATTTAAATTAATACTAAAATTAGTAGATAGATGCATTCTGTATGATGTGTTTATATTTTGAATTCTCATTCTGATTATAATTAGCGGATTTGATTTTAATTTTCTTACACAGAAAAATTTTCGATAGTTCTCAGTGTCTTTTAGTAATTGAAAGTTCATCATTCATGAACCATTTTGTCTTAGAAAATCACTTCTCAGCCAGATTTCATTAAATGTGTAGTTATATTCTTATATGCCAAACCCTATCATTGCAGTTACAATAGAGATATTGGAAACATGCCCCAGATATTTGTGTTCTAGTGTGTTCCATCTACAGACCCATGAGTTTTTGAAGAGTAAAAGGAAAACCACTTTGGCCATCTAAAAGATACACAGTAATACATAATAGCACAACCACAGTGTATTTTGAGAAAAGACCTGAACACTATATATTAAAACAATACAAGTAATAATTAACCTAAATGTAAAGCCATCTTGAATGTTTTAGAGAAATACTTTAATCAGAATGAAAATTACCAAGAATGAAGTCAAGGGACAACAGTGATCTGGAGGGTAGTGCAGCGTATATGTTATTCTCATTTACCTCTAGTTTTTTTTTTTTTTTTTTTTTTTTTTTTTTTTTTTTTTTTTTTTTTTTTGTCCCTGATCTCCTATGCATTAATCATTGGATCATGAATTATTTACTCTCAAAAAAAACAGAAGAAGAAAATAATGTATTGCTTTTTCAAAAATGTCACTCAAGCCAGACCCAAATGGGATTTTTTTTTTCTATAAAAAGCTGGGTAAAGGTAGGAGGATGGAAATTTGCTTTCTTTCATTAAAATCAGTAACATTTCTCCAGTGTAGATGGAATGTGAAATAAAAACATATATAAAATTTCTATCAGATATATATTTTCTTAAAAATCTGGGAACATATGGTGTGGCTATTAATATGGCCTATAATAACACAAGTTGCTCTGCCTTGAGGGCCATACTAAGCAATGAAAGAAAAAATAGAAGCTAAAAAAAGAAACCCTGACTTGAGGCTTTCAGGAAAAAAGAAATAAAATTATTTCACTTACACCATAAAAAGGAATACTTTCAATATGTATTAAATTTCTGTACATTTCTAGTGTTTTTGTTTTGCCACGCTTGCCTCTAATTGCATCTCTGTTCCTTTTCAATGTAATAAGCACTTGATGTTTGTTTTGATGAGCAGGAAAAACAGGGTTTTATCAATGGTGGGATGGAAGAGAGGACTTGGTGAATTTAAAATCTTGGCTCGGTAATTTCCTGGATCTTGTGTGATAGCTTAATAATAGAAATGCCAATGTAAACTTTAAAAATATAACTTACTTTCAAGTCAACGGCAAGAATCAACTGTTGCAGCGTTTGAACAGAAGTGAAAAGACAATGCAATGGAAAAGAAATGAAATTCAAATTTTTTTCAAAGAAAAGATGTGACACCATCCCCAGAACTGAGTCCTGAAAGAAAAAGTAGGATTAGCCTCAAACAAATGGAAGATAGAGAAGGAAGGTACTTCTGGGCAAAAGCGGTACAGAAGTAATATTATATAAATTGACATGACTAATGAGACATTGGGGAGCCCTAAAGATGAAGAAATATGAAAAGTAATCTGGGGAAGTATAGTGTAAGATGAAGACCAGAGGGGAATCCTGAAATGCCTTATGTACTAAGCTAAAATGTTTAAGCATTATCCTGAACACATGCATGCATACCCATTAAAAAAGTAAGTTAGCCAGTGTGTGATTAGATAGAAGTGATCTTCTGTTTTGGAAGGCAATTTGATAAATTAACAAAACCTTTTAAAATGTATACATTATTTGTAAAATCAATGTTTTCTGAGAAAATGTGAACTAAATAATCACAAGCCTTTTTCTCATTCTCCCTTAGAAGAGGAGTACATACAATGTCTCCCATAAAAGGAAACAGTCTTCTTGACTGAAATATTTTTGTTTATTCAGATGCTAACAATCAAAGGAAAATCTTTTTTCCAACTAGTCAGGCTGAAACAAAAGTCCCAAAGTTTGTCTGTTTATGTTTTTTGTTATTCTATATAAAGAAGTAAAACACTTTGTCAAGCTGTTTTTCCTACTATCTGTAGCCCTTGACCTAACTCTATTATATAAATAATGTTGGATAAGTGCTTAAAGCCATGGCATAAGGTTAGTGTAGAAAATAACAGTTGCTTAAATAATACCTAATAAATGTAAATGAACTTAAAGTGAATATGCTAGATTTTTCTTGCCTTTTTCCTAACTAAATCTGCCCTTATTTTATAAATGCTCAATATAAATTTTAGTATTAAAGAAAACAACTAAAAGGGGAGAAAATGAGCACTATTTCATTATATTGCAACTGTTCATCATATCACTTCAAAATTTATAATGTTTTATTGATTTGGAAAATCATAGTAAGTGAAAAATGATAGGATTCCCTACCCCAAAATATGGCATCTGGAGGTTCTCTCACCGTCTCCCACCCTTCTCTCCTAAAGCAGGTCATAAGACTCTCATTCAAGAGATACCCTCTCTGTATCTTGAGAAAAAGTATATCCTTATCTCTAAAGAGGAACATTAAGAAGAATCTGGACAAACAGGCCTTAATTACTAAGTTTTCCCTAGTTTATTACCATCAGCTCATACTCTCCTTTTATCCAATTATACTTCACAACTACTCACTCTTCATTAGACGTAATATACAAAAATGTTCTTGAGTCTTCATTACTGAAGACTACTGTGTCATGTAAAATTTAAGTAAATTTTTATGCTTTTTACTTATTAATCTATCTTTTGTTATAGGGGTCTCAGCCATGAACCTAGGAAGGGGAAAGATTCCTCATCCCCCATAATTACACACAATGTGGTGATTTTTTAATTGAATATTTCATAATTGTATAAAACTATATATAGGTATATGTATACATATATATGTAAACCTTTACTTAAACACACAAACGCTTCTTTGTATAGTTAACATAAATACACATACATAAAATTCTTCAGAGATATGCAAATATTTTGGCTCTGTTTTTCTGACATTTTAAACTTTCTTCACATATTTTTTTCAGTTCTTATTTAATGTTCTGCAAGAAACATTTTTATAATTCAATAAACAAATATTTTTAAATAAATATAGCTCTACATCATTAGATGTAGAGAAAAAATAGACTTGAGGCAGATGCAAATTGTTTTGTGATTAATGCAACAAGCTATGTAAGAAATGTGTAGACAGTAAAAATGACAAATTTGAGAGATGCCATTTAATAAAGTAGAACCAACAGAAGTGATATGGAGAATGTGAGAATACAGTTTTGCAGGTTTAATATGGAACACCATAGAGAGTGCAGAGATGAGCACACTGAACAGAAGATGAAGATCTGGAAAGTGAGGGGAAGAAAGAGAAGTCTGAGGGTAGTAAGTGCCACAGTCTGGCTGGGCACAATTCAGGAGCCACTTGTCAAAAGAAACGAACTTTATCTTTAGAACACACACACCAAACCACACAGCTCCTCAGGAAAAACCTTCAGAGCCCAACTGCCACCACTGGCTTCCCACAAGCCTCCCAACCTCCCCGACTCCTCCTGCTCTTGAGGCCGATTGGCTGGGTCGCGTGGGCGGAGCCAAAAAAAGTCCCCCAATGAGCAGCTCCGTGGTCTGAAAGGGTGGGGAAACAGCCCAATGAGCATCACCACAGAGGAGCCAATCAGTTGGCAGCTAGAAGTTTGCTGGGGCTGCTGTGAGCCAATCATCAGTTGGCAGCTGGTGCTGGCAGCTGGAAGTTTGCTGGGGCCCCTTCAGCTGTGGCTCTCAACATCTCCCCCTCTCTGTTTAAACAACAAGCATGTGGCTTAGGGACTGTGCCTGCCTTAGTTTGTCCAATGGTACATATGGTCCTTACCCTTCATAGGATGAGCTGGCCTCAAGGCGTCAGCCTCCTGTCTTAGGTTGGTACCATTGCAATTGGATCTTACCCATCATTGACTACTGGTCCAGCATACAGCCACATCTGTGGATAGGTCTTTGTACCAGCGGGGAGGTGAGGTTCTTTGCCTCACCTCTGTTGGCCCCCAAATTTTAGCTGAACTACCATGACAAGCAGAAGGGAGGAAGATACACCAAGCCAATACCACCGATGACACCATCAACAAAAATGCCCCAACACTACCACAAGTTGCTGCACCAATAGATAGTTCACAATGCATACAAGTGAGTTCACAATGCATACAAGTGATACATAGTCCAGGCAAGTTCTGCAAGCAGTTCAGTGATGGCTATTGAAGAAGCTGTAGATTGGTTTTATCTTTGTCTTCACCAGCACTGGGATGAAGATAGGAATTCTGGCAATAATGGCTAAAGAAAAAATTATGTAACATTACAGAAGGCACTAAAAGAAAACAATTTTCTTAACAATTTACATTGTCTTTAAGAGAATTATTAAACATAATGAAAAGGAAAGGTGAAAGTAAACAAACAGATCTGTTAACCTTCTTTTTTGTTTACATATTAAAACAATCCTCAACAGTTGTTTACCCAATTTAAATTAAACCATATGAATCACATGAAAAAACAAAATATTTGGATCCATTTTATCATGAGCGCTCATCATATATGATATATGGACATACGTACATTCAAACATATAACACAAAACACAAAACACAAAATATAATACATACAACACATAACATTATAGTAAAGGCCTTATAACTTTTTACAGGTGAAATCTCCATTGCAATGTTTAAAAACTCTATAGTCAAAAAATAGAACTGATCAGCAAAACATTAACCTAGGTCTGTATGAGCTCAAAAAACAAAATAGAACTTCATGATATGGCAAAGGGCAATAATAAAATAGATATTGAAAAAAGCATCCTGGTTCTGTTGCAGATGTAAGAATAGCCAAACTG